GTTTGCGATACAGCACGAGAAAGAGATAGCTATCGTTGTAGATAACCTCAGGGAAGCCCAGCAGAGAATGATAGAGCAAGCTAATAAGCATCATCGCCCCTCACAGTTTCAAGTAGGCGACTTAGTCGGGGTCAAGTCAAAAGAGTTCGCTCCTGAGGAGAACATCTCACAGAAGTTACTGCCTGCGTATAGACGACCGTGGCCAGTCTTAGAAGTCAAGGCCGGAGAGGATGGACCGTCCCCCCTATACTATTGAGCTTCCAGCACACCTCCACACCTACCCAATGTTCCATGCGTCAAAGTTGTTGCCTTGCGTCACAAGTCAACAATTTCCATCACTCAGATCTATGATTCCTCCAGATATGAATGGAAGATATGACATTGATGGGATAGTAGGTGAGGATGTCTTCAGGACAGGAGGTAAAGGTCGTCTACAGAAACAGTACAAAGTCAGATTTGCCTTTCAAGAGCCAGAAGATGACCGCTGGTTCAGGCGAATAGAACTTCTAGAGACAGCTCCCGATATAGTCGGAGCCTACGAAAGAGATAAGAAGGGTAAAGGTCCTGCCTTAGACTGAAGTATTCTCGGAGAGCCTCGAATTCCGGCTGGCGGGAGTGAAACGGTTTTCACCTTTCTGCAGTCACAGATGCGGGCCCTAGAGTTCGATCCCCAGTCCTTACCTTGCTCATGTAGAGTATCGAGTTGACCCCCGAGTGTTTGAACCCGTGACCTGTGTTTTGGTAGTTGTTTGTTGTCAGTCGTAGGTCTGTGTAGTTGTAGGAGTTCGATCTGTAGGTCTGTCAAATAGGGGTTACAACTCTGTAGAGGTTGAGGCTGTAGATATTCTGAAAGGTCAAGGTCGTAGCTGCTACAGTCCTGAAAGGTCAAGGTCGTAGCTGCTACAGTACTCGAAAGGCAAGTCCACAGACTTCCGGAAGGTCCGGAAGTGGCCTTTCGAAAGTGTCTCACGTTTAGCCAGAGGCAAGTGGGCAAGTGGTAAGCCAACTGCGCTGAGTCGGCAGTGCGACTGCATCGAGTCGGCAGTGCAACCCCGTGCAGTCAGCAGTACCGGTCCCAATTAGTCGCAGTCCAGTCAAGCAAGTACCATGAGGGACTGTGTGCACCGAGCAGACCAACGAGTTACAGAAGTATAAATCAAGAGGCAGCGCCCAGCCATTCATTCATTCGCTGCGTAAGCCATGCGGAAGCGCTGCTACAGCGTCTTGTGCGAGGTGGTCTGCAGGTCACCCGAAGTCGAACTGGGCTGAAGGGAGACATCATAGCCATAGCAGTAGTGGCGAGCGGCCATAGCCGCCGTAGGTTAGAGGTAGCCGATAGTGTGTGTGTGTGTGTGGGATACTGAGTGAGTGTGCGTGGAGTATTCAGGGTGATCCAGAGTGAGCGTGTGCGAACAGTGAGGTTGGACACAGCGACGAAGGTTGGGATGTACAGGCGCCGATGCGCCATAGTCCGTTTGAAGTGAATTTGCATCTGAACTGTGTTCTCGACTTCTATATCTCTGAGCTTTGAGTGGGTGCCCTGCGCCAGTGTGAATCGCCAACTGTTTGCATGTATGCAAAGTGGAAGTGAAAGCGAGTCTGATTGCAGGGGGGTCGGGGTGGGGTATAGGGGGGTTATAAGGGGTGGGGGTGGGGGCGGGGGTGGAGGGGGGAGTAATGAGGGTGTTGGGGGATGATTTGGAGGTGTTGAGGGGTTGTACAGGGGTATGGAGGGTGGATGAGGTAGCCAGATGTGCCCCTCCCTTCTAAAGATTTTAAGGGCAGAGAAAAAAAAAAATAGGGCCCCATATTCCTCATTGCGTGTAGCTTTTTTTTCTGAAGGACACCCATCAGAGAATCCGCACGGCTCTTATATGTCAGCGGAGACACTCGACGAATTTTGAATGAGCGAGGAGCAGGCCAGCCATATATATTCTGGATCCGAATTCAGGTCTGTGTTCCAGCAGTTATGGGCTGCAACTACTTACTGCAGTAGCTCTCTCTTTCTTTTTTATGTTTTCCTTTTCCTACGAGCAGTGGCCCTAAGGGCCTGGCTCCACTTGTCACCACTTGATTCATTATAGTTTTGCACATTTGGTGAGTAGTGGAGGGAAGCCCTGAAAATCACGTGCTGAGTTGGCCTGCTACTGCCCAGATAATCACATGCTCCATGCTCCGGGACCTTAATGCAAATCTACACCATATATGGTCGGCATGCTGCTGCCCTGCAATGTGTTCGAGAATTTTCACTTTCGTGGAGAGGAGGCCCTTGCTAATTATTTGCCAGGGCCTCTAGGATTACCCGCAGGGGTTTCTGATTAATGTCAAAGGGCTATTTGTTTTCTCTCTCTCTCTCTCTCTCTCTCTCTCTCTCTCTCTCTCTCTCTCTCTCTCTCTCTCTCTCTCTTCTTCTTCTTGCTCTTCTTCGTCTTCTCCCTTGCTCTTCTTCTTCTGCTGCTGCTGCTGCTGCTTCGCTGTCTTCTGCTTCGTCTTCTTCTTCTTCGTCGTCCTCTTCTTTGACATCTTTGTCTTCCTCCTCCTCCTACTCCTCCTCCTCTTCTTCTTCTTCTTCTTCTTTTTCTTCTTCTTCTTCTTCTTCTTCTTCTTCTTCTTCTTCTTCTTCTTCTTCTTCTTCTTCTTCTTCTTCGACATCGGCTTCTTCTTCGGATCCTTGGGAAGACTTGCCAAGGTGGCGGGCGGTAACTGGAAATCCTTGATTTCCCAGGTGTGCCACCCCTCTAAGACCACATCATCCTTACTCCCCCATGGTTCACCCCAATTCAAGTTTTGTTAGTCGAGAGCAGGGCTCCAATTAGAAGTACTGGGCGCCCTGCCCTCGTTTTTTTGGCCGCTTCCGAGAAATATTTGCAAGGATCTGGGTCCTTGGCAGGCCTGAGGGGCCCTGATGCAGATGTGCCCGCCCTAAGTGAAGGCGGGCCTAACAAATCCCGAGAGGCCCATTGCTGTCAATTTCGTATTTGGGGTCCAGGCAGTTGTGACGCGCCAGTTGGTTGAGGGAACACAGGCCCGAACAGCAAAGATTTTCCACGGCCTTCCAGGCCTTTCCTGAAATGCAGGCCCTGGGTAAGAATCGCAGCATCATACACAGACAGTTGGGAGGCCCAACCGAACGAGGCACAGCCTCCTGGGGCCTACCAGAAGCTCCTGGGCACAGGCCCAGCCCAGCCAGGCCGCCGGGGCAGGCAGACTCTTTCCATATAGGAAAGAGCTCCCTGCCTGGAGGCTCATTCAGGCACTTGCCGGTTTGTGTGCCAGCGCTGCCGGAGCATTGGCTCGCGTGCTGCTGTGCGCTAAGGGCAAGGTGCTGTGCGTGTGCGGTCGTGCGAGAAGCAGGGCGCTGCTGAGGGCAGCGCCATAGCCCAGCCTCCATAGCTGGCTGGGGCTTGAACTACAGTGAGGCACAGAGGTGGTCTTCGGGTGTACAGAGGGAAGACGTGGGTGTAAGTCACAAGAGAGAGAGAAGGATGATGATGATACCTGGTATTGGCGATGGTCTGCATTGGGCGACATCTTCAAGTACTTCGTTGGCTGATGTCAACAGTTGCATTGTCAATTAGTAGGCAGATAGTAGCTGTGTAGGAAGTAGGCTGGGCGCCGAGCGCCAAGTAGGGAAAAGGGCATAGACACTTATGTTGGTGGTGGTGACAGCAAGCTCTCATTGACATTTGGTTTTCAGTGTTACGAATCTCATCGGTGTTATATTGGTGCAATGCTGCTTTCTGGACACGGTGAAACATTCTGGCTTTCAATGTGATTGTGCATTCTGGATATTGTCATCTCTCTATTGCTCATTTTCGTTGCATATTTATGGTTTGTACAAAATAAAATTAAAAAAAGGGAAAGGTAAGCAGGCGGGGTCACCGTTGTGATATAAGTAGAAAAAGAGTACGGATGTTTTGTTTTGTTTTTGTCGTCTATACTGTAATGTTCCTGGTCTCTGAGTAGGACTAGATACGGAACACAGCATCCTCCAGTTTTTTTTGGCTCGCATTGACGGGACCGGTTGGAACCCGTTGTAGCTGCTACTCTGACAATTAGGAATAGATCCAGTTTTTTGCACCTAATACAGAGATAGGACCGGGTACCATTTCTCGGTTTTGGGCTGGCTCCGTCAACTAGGACTTGGAGTCTCAGGGATTTATCGGTTCTGGACTGATCAGCTTTTGAGGCGCTGATCTTATCAGAAGGAAGTTCAAGGAACTGCGCTCATAGATATTCCGATACAGCAGCGATTATCTTCCTATTTCTCGACGAGAGCTTGAGCTGCGCTCGGTGTGACGATGATGGGATGCATGTTGCTGCTTTGCTCTTTGACCATGTATGGCTGGGATGGGTATACGCTGGAGAAGGGAATTGACCGAGGACAGTATGGATATGACGGGGTGAGGAAGGCGGGGTGCGTGGAAGGTAGGATGGACAGAGCAAAGCAGGGAAAGATAGCAGAAGGGAAGCATTCTTGAGCTATAAAGGTGATGGGAGAATTTTGTTCTCCCACTGTGTGGTGGGTGGTTGGCTCCTCCTGACGAGACTTGAGTACACGCGTCGAGGGATGGGCTCATGGACGGTGTATGACAAAGAGCAATGGGATGATATTTTGTTCTTTTCAATGCTTTCGTCCTCCGTGTGAACAGTATTTCTGTTCTGATTTATCTGGTGGATTCTTCTTCTTCTTCTTCTTCTTCTTCTTCTCCCAACCAACACAGCACAGTCTTCTTTTTGTCTCTTTCATTTCTTTCTGTTTCATGCACAAAGGACAAGCAGTCTGCGATCGAACCGGACCTGATCTTCCGTCCAAAAAGAAGAAAGGAAACAAACACAAATCTCACCACTGGAATTGTGTGTGGCAGAGGCAAGGGAACACAAATTGTGCACAAAACAGCAACAAGAAACACTACTTGTGTATAGAGGACACAAAGGAACACAACTTGGGTATAGAGGAGGGAAGGGGAGCCTAGCCTGTGTGGCATTGTTTATCCCACCTGGAATATCTGGTCAGTATTGTCATAGAAAAGGCCATTATCTCTCATCGCCAATGACGACGCCTCAGCACACCGCGCCAAATTTTGTGACGGCCGCATTCCACCTGGAGAAACGTCACTGCAGTATGCGATGCAACCAACCACAGGAGGGTAAAAATTAAAAAAAAAAAATGTTGTTGTGAGATAAGTCCAGATGTTGACAAAAGTCGAAACCTGGACTGAGAAGTCCACAGTATTTTTTTTCTTTTTTTTCTTTTTTTTTTTAAGGCGATGGCCTTGAGATAATATCATCATCAAACTGACAAGCCCCAGGTAAATTTTATTGTGTTCACCTGATTCCATCTGGATTTGGGTCTGTATTCCAACAGTAGAGGGGGGGGGGGGGTACCAACTGAGCTTACGCTCATTGGTTAATTTTCAAAAAATGTTTAGAGTCTTTATACCACTAAAAGCTTGAGAGAGAAGTCCACAGAGTATTCTTTCTTTTCTTCTTTTAATTAAAAAAAAAAAAAAGTTCGGAGTCTTTGGACCGCTAATCAATAATGCACACACATGCCATCCTTGGTCAGGGGTCAAGCCGGTCAAGTTAGTATTCTCTGTATCGTTCCAATTTTAGTCTCTGTCCCTACCGACCAGAGTCGCTTTTGTGTTTCGATCCTTTCGATCCTTTCTGTTCTCAAACTGCCAGTACCTCCAAACTTGACTTGCCTTATTAAAAAAAAAAAAAAAAAAAAAAACTGCCGGGTCTAAGGAGGTCACAGGTACCATCCCAGTTCCTTCTTTTTTTCCCCAATTTGGACCATTTTTCCTCGATTCATGCGTATTATCCTCGAAAGCGCAGGGGCCATTTTGCTAATTACCCTTCTTTGTATCGTTCCAATGTTAATGGATGTCCCGCCCGAGGGATGGGTACCGTTGCTACCATACCAGTTCCTGGCAGTCCAGAGGGCAAAAAAATAAAAATAAAAACTTGTGGCTCAATGATGACTTGCCGGCAAGAGGCATCTTCAACATCGGCACAATCATTCCATTGCTTATACATCAGAGGGAAAGGGCAATATCGTATGATGACATTCATGAGAGGTACCATTTTACAACTACGGTCTTTCCCCGGGTGAAAGTCAAAGTCGCTACAGCTGCTTTTAAGCCAACTTTGAGGCCAGATACAACAGATTTACTAACCATGAATCCTACTCGGAAAAAGGCATATATGTGCACTGATATATCACCAGAGGCGGAGTCCAATGCAATTTCCAGGGCCAACTGTAGCCAGGAGACGGGCCCACTTTACATTACGCAGGGAAAGGTAACAGTCCTCAGGCACCGAACATCGCAAAAGTCCACAGACTCCAGATCTCCGCTAGCATGGCTGGCTTTGGAAATGTCTAGACTAGCCATTTACCAGGAGACATGCATTGGGATGTCCCCGTGCAAGTCATGCATCTGGTCGCCTGCGCATTCTAGGTGGCTTTCCAAATGTCTAGACTAGCCCTTTATCAGGACACTAATGGTTAATAAGTGGTGTCATTTTCGGCAAAATTTTCACCAAAACTGCCATAATTCCCTGATTTTTTGCTTCCTTTTTTTTTTTTTTTTTTTTTTGGTGTGTGTGTGTGTGTGTGATATGTATCTGCTTTAGGGTTTTGAGGTGATGCGGCGAAACCCCCCCAATTTTGGGCCTTCCATTAACCATCTCTATCAGGAGACATCTGAGACACGCATTGCATGTCCCAGTGCGAATCACGCACCTGGTCGTCTGTGTATTTTTGGGTGGCGTTTGAAATGTCTAGACTACCAAGCCCTGTAACAGAAGACACGCATTGCATGTCCCAGTGCGAATCACGCACCTGGTCGCATGCGCATTTTGTTGTGTTTCCAGAAAAGGATAATGAGACATCATCAATATGTTATATGCCTGATTGAAAACGAATCCAGCACGGCATTCACATGCCCCCCCCCCCATACACATGCGCAATGACAAGTAGACTTGGAGAGAGCAATCCACACCGAAACCAGATGACGAGTATACACAGCGGAAGCTCACAAAACCGAAAATAGAATTACGCTTAACCAATTCTGATTTGTACCATCTCTCCCCAACTCAATCAGCAGCACGAAATTCCCAGGATCCCAACGACGTTACAACACCCACAAAACAATTATCAAAACAGAGTTTCATCTAGTCCAATGGGAGACTTCTTCTTCCTCCCTTCATCCCAAGCCCTAGCGTCTTTGCCCAAATAGAATGCACGGTCATTATAACTGTATTTGGGGCAACTTTCAGTCCAGATAGAGCGATACTGACCGGGCGTTCTATTCGGGTGACGACGGTAGCTATGGTGCCACCCAAAAATCTAGCACCTAACCAGTCAGACCCGCCGATCGCCACACACCCTCCTGAACCCAGCCAGCGCACTCCACGCCAACCGCGAAGCCCACTGCCCATGAAGGGTCCCGTCCGCTCAGCAGGAGAGCACAGCTCCCGGGATGAAGAAGAAGAACACCAGCTCGATGAAGAAGAAGAAGAAGAAGACCTGCCACAGCGAAGCAGACCTGGCCACCAGCTGCTTCACCACCAGCAATCCGAACCCCCACAAGCACACCCACCAGTATGACGAAGAACATATCGGTGCATGCGGACACTGCCCAGCGCTGCCATAGGAGAAGCTGGCTGTCTCCAGCATTGGCTGCCACTTACCTCCAGATGACGACGCGCACCAAAATAGTGCAGCTCCAACGACGCAACCTCCTAGCCCAAACGTCGTGAAAAAAAAAAAAATCCAACGAAGAGTCGGAAGAACCCAAACAGCACGGACCAATAGGCATGCGCAACGAACAGGGCTTGGACCCCGAATGGGTTTTTATAACTTTTTTAGTCTTTTTAACTTTTTGCAAAACTGTTCCTGATGGGACTACCCGCCACAGGCCCGCAGTTACCAAGTTCTTTAATCTACCCTGCTTAGTGTACAGCCCGCTAAATACTGCAATTTAGTGCAAACACAACTCTGATGGGCTATTTCGTCATCACTGTGTGCTACCCCTTTTTTTATTATTATTTATTTATTTATTGGGCTACCAGCCGGGCCACCCGGGTCACCTTGTTTGACCTGGCGTCCCGGCCGGGGGAGGACCAGGCCCAGGGGAAAAAAAAAGAAAAAAGAACAAATCCAAAACATCGGATAACAAATGTGAGGGTTATTGCCTCGGCGGGCCCCCTGAACCTCAATGCGCCCTGAACTCGTCAGTTTTTGCAAATCGCGGTCGGCACCAGACAGTTGCCATGCGCCAGTTGGTTACATCTGCCTTGCTCGTGAGAATCCAAAATATTTGTGAGCCTTCCAGGCTCTTCCGGCATGTGGTGTAAGCAAGGAGCACCGCACGTTTGTGCCTGGGTGGTTGGGCATGCCTAACCAATTCGGTCCAAGGCCACTGTCTGAATGGGCCTGGGCGCAGACACTTTGGCCGAGACTGAAGCTAGTCGAAACTCGGTGTCACGTGGGAAGCGATCGAAAGCGCTCGCCACTTTCCATATAGGAAAGGGCACGGCGCCGGCGAGGCGATCGGGCACTTGCATGGTGATGCGGAGGCGCTGCTAGAGCTAGCGCTCGCAGGATGCTGTGTTAGTGCATGGCGAGTGTGTGCGCGCGTGCGGTCGTGCGGTAAGCAGGGCGCTGCTGAGGGCAGCGCCATAGCCCAGCCCGCGTAGCCGGGCTTGGGCTTGGACAGTCAACGGGAGGTAGCTGTGGTCTTTGTGTAAGAGGGAGAAGATACGGGTGATGAAGTCGAGCGGGTGAGAGAGAGAGAGAGAGAGAGAGAGAGAGAGAGAGAGAGAGAGAGAGAGAGAGAGAGAGAGAGAGAGAGAGAGAGAGAGAGAGAGANGAGAGAGAGAGAGAGAGAGAGAGAGAGAGAGAGAGAGAGAGAGAGAGAGAGAGAGAGAGAGAGAGAGAGAGAGAGAGAGAGAGAGAGACATGAGGTTGATGATGCAAGGGCACGTACCTGGTCTTGGCGATGGTCTACACGGGTCAACATCTTCATGTACTTCGGTTCTGCTGCTGACGTTAACTGGATGCATTGCCAAGTTGTAGGCTGCTAGTAAGCTGTGTGATCGTAGTCTGGGCTTTGAGCGCCAAGTAGGAGGAAGGACTCTGGATACGTATGTTGGTGATGGCGAGAGTATGCTCTCATCGACAATTTTTTGGTTCTCCATTGGTGCAATATCAGTGCATTTCTGCTTTCTGGACAGTGTTCGACTTTCTGGCTCTCAGTGTGATTTTGCACTCGGGATTTCTGTCATTTTGCTCTCTCTCATTTTCCTTGCAATTTGGTATCGGAGCTGGTTCGAGCCGCTCTGCTAGCTCCTTCGCAATAGCTGTTTGGTGCTTCGCTGGGTATGGTGAGGCAGTGACATCGCTTGTGCGTGGGGTGATAGGCGGCCCAGGGTCGTGTGGGCGCACCAGGAAGGCTGTGTGGTGACATAGGGGTGCACACTGGATGATGAGAGCTTGCTGACATGGCAATTTAAGCCGAGGCGGAACTGCATTGCATTGTGGGTTGTGCCAAGGCATCGACTGGTCATCTATAGCAGCGCCAGCCAAACACAGGCCCGTGTCGGTTTCTTTTTTTTTTGGCGCGCAGGGTGAATTTAGGCTCGGCATCAATAGCTGGACAGTGTACTGGTGGTTTAAAACCCGAGTACAGGCCGCCCCCTCCGAAACTTGCGCTGGTAAGCAAAGAGGCTGCCTTTTCGATGTCCCAGCCTCGCGGGGAACCTGTTCTGTGCATCCATGCGCCAAAAAATTAGGTTGAGAAATTTAGGGTCCGCTTACATGGCAAAGGAAGTGACACGGTCTGCATCACGCTATGGTTCTTTGATCTTGTTTGGGGGGAAGGGGGGGGGGAGAGGGAACAGCTTTGGGAGCTTCATTCTTTGCTGGAGGGGTGGCTATTGGCTTTTTTTATAAGTGCTCTGAGGGGTAAAGTGTCCAGATTTGTCAGTTTGCTTGCCCCAGTAGAGAGAGAGAGAGAGAGAGGGAGAGAGCGAGAGAGAGAGAGAGAGAGAGAGAGAGAGAGAGAGA